CCGAAGCCTTAGCAGTAGCACAAGCTTCATAAACAACGCAGATGTGCCGATCGAGGTCGGCGGCCAGCTCAGGATCCTCCGCCGAGCTAAGCAGACTCCGCGCTAAGCCAGCGGCAGCGCGAAAGAGAGGCGCATAAGCTGAGTCCTCTGCCACTGCCACCGTCGTCGGCGGCTCCGCGAGCGCCGCCAGCACCTGATGGCCTCCATCTAGAAGGCCCTCAGGGCTCAAGTAACACCTGGAAGCCCGAAGTTGACTGCTCAACCAGAGAACCGACCTGAGGGTGGGGTCAGACTCACGACCCCCTTCCTTCAAAATGCTTTTTCCATAACATCTGCGGCCGCTTCGCTCTGGCCCCCTTGAGAACCTTCACCCCCAAGATGGCGCTGAGGTCACGCTCAGCCGCGTTGGCCCACGCGCGGTGCCCTGGGGCCAACAAGGAACGATCGCGATCGCCTTCACCCTCTTTCACCGCCCGAAAAGCCTCACGCGCCAGCCCGAGAGGGACCTCCCACGACCCAGGCCCAGGCTGCGGACCAACCGGCGGCACCACAGAGAGGTCGGGCGGGCGTCGGAAGGCGAGAGCCTTGAGATCACCAGCAGACGCGTGGAAGCGCAAAAACACAGGCCTGTGAGGGTGGATGGGAGAGTCCCCTTGCACCTCTATCTGCTTGATACCGAGGGAAAGGGCATGCGACGCGACGAAAAAATCAATGCGGTCGGGGGGGCCGACGCTCGGGATGTGGGTATGCCCTTGGGAACTGACAATCACCCCATTGGTCTTAGCCTGGAAGCCTGACGCAGCCAAGGTCTCAGGGGGGAAATTCCAGTCAGCCCCGATGATGAACTCACTCTCTAAACAACCGATGAACTCCCCCACGGATTTCAAGATTGACAAGTTAGCCTCTGACAGACCTTCGCTGTGGCGGAGGTAGAGGGAGAGGACGCAGAAGGTGGCGCACCCTGGCACGTGCACCATGGCCCCTATCGCGCGGCCCTCGGCCAACACGATCTTGCCCTGGTGCTCAAACATGCCGAGCGCGTCGCGCACGAAGATGCCAACCCCAGAGGAGGTGCCCCCGCCTTCGCCAACGATACCTGGAGCCCAGAGCGGCTTCCATCCCAAGTATTTGGCCCCTTTTCGGGGCCGTTGCGATGACATCGTCTCCTCGAAGGCGATGTTCCTGAGCAATAGCGATATGCGATGTATAGCTCATTGCGTAGCTTTTCAAGGTACCCCAGCTGTTGGCGTTCACGATGGACACCAGCAGGCCTTCTTCGAGCCCGCAACTCTGTGGTCTGGCCAGACCAGCCGTCGCTGGAGGCGCAGGGGCGGGGGCTGACCAGTCCATGGCCCCTCCCCGACTGGAGGCCCTGACCGTATTTGCTCCAGCACAAATATCGGATTGCGGCAAGCGTGCAACCGCAGCCGTGGCTGCGGAACCATCGCTCAACGACTGATCCGCCAGACCAGGGAGAGGAGAAGGACGAGGATCAGGGATTTCACGGTCTCCTGGGGGCACAGGCTGAGGGTCCCAAGGAAAATAGGAACAGGAAACAAACTCCGAGACTTGCGTCATCGAGTGCAGCTTGCGCGCCAAGCGCAAGCCCGACTTCTGTGCTGAAGAGCCAATAGAGGAGACTCGATCCGCCAAAAAATTGCAAAGAAGGGACAAGTCACCCGAGCTCGGATTGCCACGAATCAAACCACTAAGCCACCCCCCCTCAGGCGAGGGGGGGGGGGGGGGGGAACACCTGACAAATGCTGGTCAACCCGAGCTCGGATGTCGGTGGCAGCGGCAGCGGCAACAGGCCTCGCCGCCTGCTGAGACGCGGCGCCTGGCTCAGAAGGCGCCGCAGCTTCACCTCCACCTGCGGCTGCCCCGCGGCCTGCATCATCAGCGTCTTGAGCGGGAAGTCCCTCGCCATCGTCTCCCTTGCGCCGCTTGCGCTGAAGCCGTGATTTGTGAGCCAAATGGGCTGCCTTGACCCCCGCAGCCGTGGAGGTGAGCTGCTCGAAGAGAGACTTTGACAGGTCCTGCACGCCTGTCTGCAGCTTCTCCAGCCTCGTCTGGTACTCCTTGCGATCCCCCTCAGTGACATCGTACTCGCTGCTGTCGAACTCCTCCATGATGTCGAACTTAATGATACTCGTGAGGTCGAACTTGCCATCCATGATGTCCCGCAGCGGGATGGCTGGGGTGCTGCACGGTCCCGCAGCCGCGCCTGCACCCGTCGTCCCTGCACCGCTGCTGCCACGAAGCCGTTCCACAGCCGCCTTGTACTCCTCACCAGCCTTGCAAAGCTGGTCCCGCGACTGTCGAACCTGCTCCTCCAGCTCTGCGACCCCTTGCTTCCACTTGAGCAACCGTGTGAGCAGGCCCTCAAGCTGCTTCTCCAGGCGACGGGCAGCGGCATGCTGTTGTTGAGCCTGCTGATGAACATTGATATCTGCGTGCTTGCTGGCGGCCTCCAGGCTAGCCGCCACATCGGCATAATACTTACCCCTCGTAGCATCCCCCGCCTTGTACGACAGGGAGGCCATCTGCTTAGCCTCTTCGACCGACAGAGCGGGAACGGGTCCAGCGGGGAGCGGCGGGGCACCACCTCCCGTGCCAGCGGGCTGCAGCTGACCTCCTGGGGTCGAACCATGCCGCTCGAACCGAAAGGGAACGTTGAATCCCTTGCCTTTTACCCTTGCCGTAGCCTTTACCTGCAGGCCCTCCTTTATTCCCCGAGCCAGTACCAAACCACCCAGGCGGTCTCGACCAGTAGGACAGAGCACTAGGGCCAGAGCGATCACAAACTGGAACTTGAGGAAGAGGGCAATGACAATGTTTGCAAGACTTCGCCGAGGGAGCGTTCTTCCGACATCCGCACCCTGGGCACTTGATGGGCGACTTGTTGTTGTTGTACCACTTGCCGCTGCCCTTGACCTGCCACTCCCCTCCACCGTCGACCTCCTCAGATGCTTGCACCCAAGGGTGATACGTGAAGCGAGAAGAAGAAGGGGCCATCGAGGATGTGGGCAGGAAAACTGGCAATACGATAGCCTGAACGTGATGTGAACAGTGCCTGGCGGGCAAACGCCAGGGAAAGCGGACGGGGGCCGCGGGATCCCCCCTGCCAAACTCAAATCCTTGAGCAACCGCTACGGACTTGAGCCAAAATGGCTACGGACCTCCTCCTCCTCCTCCTCCTCCTCCTCCTCCTCCCCCTCCCCCTCCCCTCCCCTTTCCCCTCCCTTCCCCTCCCTCTCCTCCTCCTTTTCCTCCTCCTTCTCCTCCTCCTCCTCCTCCTCATCGTCCTCCTTCCCTCCTCCTCCTCATCGTCCTCCTTCTCGTCCTCGTCCTCGTCCTCGTCTTCCTCCTCCTCCTCCTCCTCCTCCTCCTCCTCCTCTCCTCCTCCTCCTCCTCCTCCTCCTCCTCCTCCTCCTCCTCCCCCCTCCTCCTCCTCCCCCTCCTCCTCCCCCTCCTCCTCCTCCTCCTCCTCCTCCTCCTCCTCCTCCTCCTCCTCTCAATCGTGTGTTTCTCTGTGCGCGAGGGGGCCAGCGCCTCCCGCGGGTTCAGCTGCATGCGCGGGGAGAGGGCGCGGGCGCCCAGGGGGCGCGCCACGGGGCGCCTCGGCCGCGTCTCGCGGCTTTCGCCCCTCGTCGTCGTCGTCGGCTCGCGGGCGCCCGCCCCACCTTTTTGAAGGGGCCCTGGGACACAAGAACAAGTAGACACAAATCCCAAGATTCCCTATATTGTCCCATAGTGTCTGGGCTTTCGTCTTCCCCCCCACTTTCCATATCTTCCCATAGTTTACTTGGGATCGACTCGACGATTCATTGTGTCTGTGTTTTTCCCCTCCTGACTTTTCTTCGTCGCCCACCTGCACTCCTCGTCCTCCCCGTCGTTGTCCTTCTCCTACCGCTTCTCGTCCTCGTGGTCGCTGTCCTCGTCCGCCACCTTCTCCTCGGGCTCCTCGCCGTCTTCCTCCTCCTCCATCTCCTCCTCCTCATCCTTCGGCTCCTCCTTCTGCTCCTCCTTCGACTCCTCTTCCTACTCGTCCTCCTCTTCCTCCTCTTTCTCCTCCTCCTCCTCCCTCCCCGTCCACCGGTTGACTCCCCATTCTCATCAGCCTCCTCATCTAAGAGAGCGGGTGAGCGGGGGGACGAAGAGAATGGGAACAGCATTTTTTGCAATCTCTATATATATGTATGTATATGCAGATATGTATAAATACACTCTCTCACACACACATCTGTATACTATATTGAATTAACGTTCCGCCCAATACTTTGTCACCGTCTCTGATTCTGAGGCATGAAACTTAAGACGAAGCAAGGGCGAGGAAACAATCGGGTGAGGATAAATCTAGAATCTCTGAGATCCTGCACCTCTGAAACATTGACTCTGGCAAACGCGGCCTTCTCAGAGCGTTCCGGAATGCTCTGAGAGCGTTCCGGAGCGATCTGAAACGGATTTACACTCGTCATAACCCCGTCCGAAAACTCTAACCGATTGCAGCGATGAGCCGCAAGTCGGTTTCGAACTGGGGCCCTCGAATTTCAGAGTCAAAAGAGCACGAACAATCTTCACCAGACTATCTGTAAGCTGTTCTTGGATATTCCTCGTGTGCAGGAACATGCCAGACTTAACCCTAGCCTGGCTAAGCACCCAACCAAAGGAAATGGTGAATACTGTAGTTATGAATATCGTCTTCGGTGGAGTCCCCTGTGGGGCCGTGGCGCCGTGCAGGTTGCGCCGGAGTGGTGCGGAGAAGACATGCGGGCGCCACCACCGGGGCCTTAGGTGGAGCTCCCTACTGGGCCACGCATCGGGTGATGGGTGCGCCGATGGTGTGGAGAAGGCATGTGGGCGCAGCCATTGGTGCCTTAGGTGGAGCTCCCTGTGGGCCCACGGAAAGTGTGGGGGCTGCGCCAAAATGGCACGGATAAGGCATGTGGGCACAACCACTGGTGCCTTGGGTGGGGCTTCCACGAAGCGTGGGGGTGCTGTGAAATAGTTTGGCAAATTCATGCGGGCACTGGTGCCTCAAGTGGAGCTCCCCATGGAGCTACGGAGTGTGTGAGGGGTACGCCAAAATGACATAGAGAAAGCATATGGGTGCAACCGTTCAACCACTGAGGCCTGAGGTGGAGAAGGCATGGGGGCGAAACTACTGGGGTCTGGGGTGGAGTTCCGTATGGGGCCGCGAACCCGTAACCCTGTGAGTGGTGCGCAAGTGATGTGGAGAAGACATGCGGGCGCAACAACGGGTGCCACGAATAATATTAAGGGTTGGAGAAATATGTGGGCGCCACCACTGGTGCCTTAGACAAGGCTTCCTATGGGGCCACGCACCGTGAGATGGGTGCACCGAGCATACGTGGAGAAGGCATTCATGCGCAACCAATGAGGCCTGAGGTGACGCTCTCCATAAGGCCACGAAGCGTGTGAGGGATCGTCGACATTCGGTGGGGAAGGCATGCGGACACCAACTGTGGGGCCTTAGGTGGAGGTCCCTGTAGGGCCAGGGAGCATGTGTAGGTGGCGCCAAACTGACGTGGAGAACGCACGCGTTCGCAACCCCTGGGGCTTTAGGTGGAGCTCCTCATGGGGCCACGACTCGTAAGAAGGATGTGCCGCCGATGAGACCGTTGAAAATGACGACGACGATGATGGGAACGCGCGGAGGGCAGCAGCGTTACGAGGGAGAAAGGGGAGGGGAGGAGGTGCCTGAGGAGGAGAAGAAGGAGGAGGAGGAGGAGGAGGAGGAGGAGGAGGAGGAGGAGGAGGAGGAGGAGTAAGAGTAAGAGGAAGAGGAGAAGAGGAGGAGAGGAGGAGGAAGAGGAGGAGGAGGAGGAGGAGGAGGAGGAGGGGGAGGAGGGGAGGAGGAGGAACGCGGGGCGATGCGTAGTCTCAAAACGAAAACCCAACATCGCAGGATTAATGGGATCTGTAGGGATGGTGGGCGGCTTCTTTTCAGTGCGGGGTTCTCGCCTCCATGTCGCGCGCGCCCGTCCTACAACTATACAGTCATCGGCCTGACCTAAGGAACGACAAATAAGGAACGAAACCCCTTTCTTCCCATGAGCAACGCATAAGGAACGATACATAAGAAGTAACGCCCAAGGAACGACGCACAACGCATGCAAACCTGAGGAACGACCGAGCCCCATTTGAAAAAGGAGGCGTTCCTCATTCAATCCGCTCACTGTACCGCAAGTGCAGAGATGGAACGCACAATGTTTCCACAACGGGGGCCTCGCTTGAGCGCCACGCACATTCGTCTTGACAGCTTGCAGCAGTTACGAAGATGGGGGGCGGCTCCTGTTCAATTGGGGCCACTGCTTTCTTTTTTTGTGCACGGACAGAACGCCCGGGCGACGCAACCCGAAGGGAGGTGCCCAAGGTACCTGCATGAATTCACATGCAATCGGACCTCGCAACATGAACGGCGGCACAGACCCGCCCCAGGCGTCACATCTGCGCCGCCGTTGCGAGGCGCCTCGAGATGCCGCCCCGAGACACGGCCACCAGCACCACCCCCACTGGGCCGCCGGCCTCAGGCAGCGGAAGCCCCGCTGCCCAAGGACTTAAATTCCCGCGCCCCCCACGTCGGGGGACCCCTTCGAGTAACCCCATCGGGCCTCTCAAGGGTGGTGCGGCGGGCCCGCGCCACCTGTGGCTGGCCAACCACAGGGCAAGAGTCTCTCCCACAGCCCCGTCGAGCTGTGGTGACGATCGGGCTGCCAAACCGCCTGTATTCCTGGGGCGCCACGAGGGCACCCAGCGGCACAGGTGCCGAGGGGCCACGGCCTTCGCGCCGAGCGCCTACGCCGAGGATGCAAAGCGGCTCCTTGACACCACTGGGGCTCTCGCTTGATGCACCCGTGGAAAGGGGCACACTCGAGGCGTCAGCACCCGCAGCAGCTGTGCGGGGCGGAGGGCGGGCGCTCCTTCTCCGAACGGGGCCCTCGCTCGAGATTCCTGCGGGTCTCACGGCCGGGAGTGCACGTTCGCGCAGCAGGTGCACGGACGGGGGAGGCGGTCGTTTCGGCTTCTTCTCGAAGCGGGGCATCGCTGTTGAGCCCAGTGGTCGCACTTTGCCGCACACCCTGCCGCATCATCATCATCATCATCATCATCATCATCATCATCATCATCATCATCACCATCATCATCATCATCATCATCATCATCATCATCATCATCATCATCATCACCATCACCATCACCATCATCATCTTTATCACCATCATCACCATCATCATCAACATCATCATCATCATCATCATCACCACCCTCACCATCATAATCATCACCATCATCATCATCATCAACAACATCATCATCATCACCACCCTCACGATCATCATCATCATCATCATCGTCATCATCATCATCATCATCATCATCATCAACATCATCATCACCATCACCATCGCCATCGCCATCACCATCATCATCCGCATCACCATCACCATCACTACCATCACCACCATCCTCATCATCATCACCACCACCATCATCATCACCATCGTCTTTTCTCTCTAGCGGGGCATCGCTGCTGGGCCCAGTGGTCATACCTTGTCGCACTGGCAAGGCGCACGACGGGTGGCTCCTGCTCCTGCTCCTGCTCCTGCTCCTCCTCCTGCTCCTCCTCCACAATTACACAAGATGAAAAAACTCTCCCACTTCCCCTGATGGCGTCCCGAAGATATCCGACCCCCCACCGCGTACTGTTTTTTTACACACCGGATTCCCGGGAAACGGGTTTTCGCCTGCGTTGTTTCCCAAAATGCTGCTCTCGCTGAAGGGGCCGGCCTCATTTCTGCTCCCGAATCGTTCCGAATCGTGCTCCCGCTGCAGCGTGGGCCTCATTTTCGGATTGGTGTTTGGCCTCCGTCGTTCAGGATGGCGTTCTCGCCCCAGCGCGGGCCTCTTTCTCGCGCGCCCATCCGCCCGCCACCACCGCGCCGCACCACCACCACCACCACCACCACCACAACCACCACCACACCACCACCAGCACCAGCACCATCACAGCACCACACAGCACCAGCACCAGCCCAGCACCAGCCCAGCACCAGCACCAGCACCAGCACCACACCACCACCACCACCACCACCACCACCACCACCACCACCACCACCACCACCACCACCACCACCACAACCACGCACACACGCACGCACGCACGCACGCGCACCACCACCCACTACGCACGCGCGCGCTGAGCCACAGGTCCGCTACGACACGCGTCCGCGGATAGAGAAAATCAGCGCCATGGTAAGGGATGGGAGGGAGGGGTAGGACGTCAGATGTTACGCGAGCGCACCTAGCTTGTCCTCCCCCCTCCTCCTCTTCCCGAGCCCATCCACTCCTGTCTTGGCGGCGCGCACGGGGCGGTGGCGGGAGGGGGGAGGGCTCCTCAGGAGGAGGCCGCTGCTCAGAAGGCGCGGGCCTCACACATACAGATAGGGCCCGCGCCTCCTGAGAGGCAGGGGTGTTTCCAAGACCCCCCCCCCTCCTCCCGGCCCCCCCGCGCGTGGCTGACCTTGGTGCAGAGGGCGATATGTAAAGGCTGATGGGGAGGATACCTGGAACGGGAAGGAAGGCTGCAGCATGGAT